GCTTGGGCAATTGCAGGGGCCAGACCTTCAAGAGAAAGTGTTTTAGCAAACCAAGATGAAATAAAGATTGCTAAGTCTGTGTTCCCTTCCACATTTTCATCTAGACCTCTACATTTCAAATTCTGCTGCCTCCAGCGTTGTTCTAAGTTGGCTATTTTGTTACTGAGGACTTGTTCTCTGTTTTGCAGCATTTTAACCTCCTCTTGGAGGGTTTCTCCCACTTCCATAGCCATCTCAGCTTTTTTTTAGGCTTCTTTAATGTCTTTTGTTAACTCAGTTTAGCATTTATTGGGTCTAGTTTTTCATCTAAAGATTCTTTAATAGACTTTGTAATATCAAATTTAAGTTCAAAAAGGTCTTCTTTCCTTACATACCCCACTCCTGTATCTCCGGTTTTAGCCTCAGAGTTCTCTGCAGCTTTTGTTGACTCTCCTCTAGGAAAGAATGATTTTACTGTTGGTGTTTCTTTTTGAGAGGACTTCACCTTTGGTTCGTTGTTTTTCCCCATAGTCTGGGAAGCAGTTGGGTGTAGTTTGTTGCTCGATTTAGACCATATGGAGGAGAGGAGTCAGGAGCTTCACAATTTTGCGTCCACCATTACCCAGTGATGCCCCCCCCCCGGGTTTAATTATGGGAGGCTGTGAGTTAGTCTAAATTGGAGGGTATAAAACCTTCCTGTACTGTGTTCAGGCCATTTGCATCTCGCTATCATCATCAAAATATTTCCTGCCCCCCTGAACTTTCAGAGATAAATTCTAGCCAGCTACAACCCTCTCTGTCATGTGAATATACATTTCAAAGGCCCTTTGAAGCATTCAAGTACGAAATTCACCCAAAAGCTTACCCCATACTCAGATGCTGTTATGGGAGAGAGAGAGAGTGCGAGCGCGAGCGCTCTTGCACTCCAAAGCTAAGCTGAAAGTGTTTGTTGCCAATTATAAAATATGAAATAAATATAATATTTAAATATTTGAGCTACCAATGGGAAGACCTGAGTTTATGGAAAGATGTTATCCAGTAAATCAAGCTTATTCTACAGCTTTTTTTTTTGCTGTGAAGTCACAGCTGATTCATGTCAGTCCTTATAGGCAAGTGATGTTCAGAGGTGGTTTGCTGTTCCTTGCCTGTGCGTAGCAACCCTAGACTTCCTTGGTGGTCTCCCATCCAAGTCCTAACCAGGGCTGACCCTGCTTAGCTTACAGAATCTGATGATACTGGGCTAGCCCTGGCTATCCAGGTCAGAGCATTCTGTAGCTAGGGCTGTCAGTTAAAGGTAGGGCTGTGAGGTCAACTATTTATATTTATTTATACTGTATGGTGCCTACAGTTCCATGAGGTTAAAAGGCAGCTAATAAACATTTTAAATAAAACAAACAAATAAATAATACACTGAAAATAGTTGCCAACATCCAACCAATGAAGCTTGTTATGGTATATTGGGAAGGTGCAATGAGTGTTGTAGAGCAGAGTAACCAAATTTTTTGGAGGCTTTGAAGCTTTTTCAGGTATTTGTTGAGAGCACTTGTGGGGGGTTTTGGTATTGACAAAGATGCAAGTAGACAAAAATCAGTCATTCCCTAGAATATACTATATGGTATTGGGGAAAGCTTGCCAATTGGGAATTAAGATTTATGCCTTAATTTCCTCTGTCTTGGGGCACAACTTCCCAGCAAAATGGTTTCTTATGATTTTTCTGCTAGTGGCCATTTTGTTTCCTGTTTTAACAGCCCTTGCATCTCATGATTATATACTGAAGATTGTCCCAACTGTATATGAAGAGATGAATGGCAAACAGCGGTACTCATATCAATATACTGTAGCCAATAAGGTAAGAGAGACATCAGTTCACAAATCCCATTTCTGTTGTGGCTGCTTTTACATTCATTGTGTTCTGTTCTTGAAGTGAGAGCAAGAGCAGCCCCTGCTGGAGAAGTGGAAAACTAAAACTGAGAATCCCATCTAGCAAAAGAGTGGCTTAGGTGGATGCAAGAGCTTGTATGGCAAATCACTATTTTAACCTGAGGAGCCTTCCTCGGTATCTAAACAGGGAATCATAACACAAGCCTGCCTTACAGGGTTATAGGGATTATTCATCACCTCAGTATGTAATGTTCTTTGAACACTCTGAATTGTTATCTGGATACAGTGTTGCTTTCCAGCTTTATCAGCATTTTCCTCATTTTCATCCATTTGCACGTTCATCCATTCATCAGCACCCTATTCCTTGTTTTCCTTTCTTCCTCCACCTAGCTACAGCAGTCACGATAATAAGCTGCATGCCTTCCCCTTTGGAAAGTATTTATAAAACCTCAGTCATAATCATCATCAGTAGTAATGCAAATTATCTTTATGAGCATTTGGTCTTGTACAAAAACAAAAAAACCCCATGAATTTGTAGGTGAAGATAAAGGAACATGTGTGTGTGTGATTAGTTTACAAACTAGTGACAAAGAGCAAAAAGTTAAGTAATGCACGTTTCTGTCCGTAGTGAACATACTGAAGGGTTGAATGCCCCGTTTCTAGAAGCAGAAGGCCTTCTTTGACTCTGCTAGCAGTTGGTGGTGGTGGGGGACTTGTAAATTCTATGTACAGAGCCTCTATGTTTGATGTGTTATGCAGCTCAAGATTATAACAGGATATTTAGCCAAGCCAAGATTCAAACTTTTCAGAAGGGAAAAAATAGATCAAGATTTTTTTTAAAAATGATCCCTTTTGCAAGAGGAATGTGGAAAAACAGCTTCCTCTTTTTATTATTTATATCCCACCCTCCCTACCAAAGGAAGACTCAGGGAGGCTTACATAAAATTTCAACAGATAAAACAACCATATAAGTATATAAGCATAAAACACAGCATAAATATTAAAAGCAATTTATATGGTGATGGCAGAACAGTAGTATCAGCAGATGTAATAGAAGTACAGTCAGCAGTTGATTTGTCTATCGGCAAGCTCAGGCTGGATGGTGGTATTGGGCACAGGGTCTTAGATTTTTAAGTGCGGCTCCTTACTTGAAGGCCTGGTGGAAGAGCTCCATTTTACAGGCCCTGCAGAACTGTAAAAGGTCCCGCAAGGCCATAATCTCTTCTGGGAGCTCATTCCACCAGCTTGGAGCCACCACTGAGAAGGCCCTGGCCCTAAAATCCTAAAAACTGCTTAGCCCCAGTGTCTTATAATAAGAGGGAAAATTGGCTTAATTGGAAAAAATCTGGTGCAAATCTCCTGGTTGTGATTGGGGTACCATGTCCATACTCTTCTACCTTTCAACTTCTCTTTAATACCTATCCCAGGATTGCCTGGCACTGGTAATATTTTCATTGATCTTGGGCTATTCAGCCATTGATCCTGGACATCCGCTTAGCCTTGACCAGGGCCAGGGCTTTTTCTGCCCTGGCCTCCAGCCTGGTGGACCATGCTCCCACTGGATATCAGTGCCCTGCGGGACCTATTACGGTTCCTCAGGGCCTGTAAAACAGAGCTTTTCTACCAGTCCATCTACTGGCCTCCCTTGTTGAAACGTCCATCTTGTACGGCCCATCCGGTGAAGATTCACAGTCTGGTTTATGGCCTAGCAGCTCCAGTATTCAAGACCATTGTACTGAATTGCAGTACTGTCTGTCCTTAGCTTATTGTGAAATGTTTTAACTCCCGTTGTGGATTTGTTGTTGCAATCTGCTCTAGTTACTGGAACTTCAAGAAGAAAAGAAAATTAGCACTTTGTATTGATTCACAGAACAGGACTGCCTTGATCTCTTTGCAGAAATCAGAGATGTATTAGAAGTAGCTAAATGGGAAGGGGGGAGAGAGCATCCAGGCATCTCTTACACACACTTCATGCTTCTAATGCCTTGTTCTGCTTCCTTTTTCAGGAATATGTAGCATACAGCCATACAGGGCGCATCATTCCAGCCATCTGGTTTCGTTATGACCTGAGTCCCATCACAGTGAAATACACAGAAAGGCGACAGCCCTTGTACAGGTTTATCACAACAGTGAGTAACTTCATCCTCACTCCTCTGCTTTAAGCTGGTCCCATATTTTCCATATATACAAGTAGAGCTCCTGTGCTGGAGAACTAGATCAGAAGAGAAACATATAAATATACTGTACCCACTTGTAACTACTTGCAAGTGCTGGATAGGAAAAAGAAGGACTTTGATAGTTTGATGTAACTGCTGAGCCTGGATAAATCCTTTTACATACAAGTGCCCAAATGTTAACTGCACCAAGAGTAATTTGCTAGAATATCTGGGTTGAGGTATAGTCTTAATCAAAAACACATATCATACAGAGACTATGATTGCATTCCGATGTAAAGAACACATCATGGTTTGTTTGTTATGAGAATGAGCCTTGAAAATCCTCACTCAGGTGCTTCTCACCTGCTCGCTGTGATATCTAAACCAGAGCCAGTTTGGTGTAGTGGTTAAGTGTGCGGACTCTAATCTGGGAGAACTGGGTTTGATTCCCCACTCCTCCACTTGCCCCTGCTGATGTGACCTTGGGTCAGTCACAAGCTCTGGCACAGCTGTCCTTGAAAAAGAGCAGTTTGTGTCAGAGTTCTCTCAGCCCCACCCACCTCACAGGGTGTCTGTTGTGGGGAGGGGAAGGGAGAGGAGTTTGTAAGCTGCTCTGAGACTCCAAGTGAAGGGCGGGGTATAAATCCAATCTCCTCCTCCTCCTCCTAACTGGGAGAAAGAGCAATGGAGTTTGTTCGCTTGCCTACAAACCAGAATTTCAAACCATGGTGGTTTGGAATCCTGACTTGCAGGCTAGAGAACGAACCTGACACTTCAGTCATGTTGCTTTGCTCAATTTGGACATTGCATCAAACTTCACTTTTTTGGGAACCCAGACACCTTCAGCATCTCAGGTCTTGTCTACACAGTACAGACATCCCAGGGATATTTCTGTCTTCACGTGATGTATTTGTTTATAAGCATCACCGCATGCATTTGGCATTTTGAGCTATTATATTGCCACCTCAGGAATTCACCTCAAGGATTCTGTGAGGATTTCACATGATCTTTGTAGCCTGTGCAGTGATAACATTTGCTTTATGCTCCCAGGAATAGGGCTGTATGCTAACTGTGGACCATAGAGTTCTGATTCCAAACTGCGTGGTGAAAAAATGGAGACTGTCTAGCCATCAGTGTCTATGATTCTTCAAATAATGGTGTAGTGTATCCATCCCAGACCGCGTGCGTGGCCATTTCACCACGCGGTCATGCGAAGCGGCTGAGCTTCGCTCTCGGTAACAGTGGGACAAGCGGATCCTAGCCGGCACCTATCGGTAGGCTAGGCTCCCGTCTGAAAGCCTATGGAACTCTCGGCCACTGTAAATAGCCAATCACTTGTGTGTTGGTCTGTTTTGGGTGTGGGGTTGTTGCACATATAAACCAGCCTGCGAGCTGGTTAGTTTGTCTTGTTCTTGATCTAATAAAGTACGCTAAGCTGAAATCACTCGTCCGTCTGCGTACTTTTCACTGGCAACGAAGGTGGGATTCTAACTCCCATGAACAACGACCCGGACAAAGATTCGAGCACTGCATCGAGCCCCAATGCCAAGATCGCCGCTAGCCGCTCCTCTGCACACCCTGGTTCTTCGGTAGCCGCCCACCGCTCCACTCCTAGCTCCGTACCTCGCCCAGGTTACCCCGAGAGCAGCAGCACTTCCCGCCTTGCTCCAGCCGCCGCCGCTGCCACCATTCCAAGCTACTCTCACCACCTGTAAGCAGTACGATGGCTACCTCCCAGGAAAGCATTGCCGCTTTCGACATCTCCCGCCCCGCACAGTGAGAGACCTGGCTCGAGATCCTGGAGAGCTATTTCGACTGCCATGACATCGTAGACCCGGGTAAGAAAAAGGCCCATCTCCTCCGGTCCTGTGGCATAGACACCGTCTTGCTGCTTAAGGACCTCATTGCGCCGAAGCAGACCAAGGACGAGTCCTATGTGGTACTGGTGAAAGCTCTGACCGACCACCTTTCACCAAAGCCCACAAAATTTGCTGAGCGCATGGACCTTTCTGCATGGGTCCAGGGGCCGGATGAGCCGGCCTGCGAGTTCTTGGCCGGGCTCCGGCGGGCGGCCACCAGGTGCTCATTTCCTCACCTGGCGGACGCCTTGCTAAATCAGTTCCTTTTGGGTCTCCAGGAGCCCAAGCTTCGGAGGAAACTGGTTAGCCAGGACGACCTGGATCTAGACAAGGCGCTCAGGGAGGCCGCGGCCTACGAGAAGTCGCACCAAGACCACCGCATGCGGGCGGTCCATCGCACTCAAGCAACACTTGTGTCGGACGACTCCGAGAACGATGAAGTGCTCCAGGTCCGCCGCAGCAGCATCGCCCCGGGGGAGCACCGTCGGCCAAAGCCCCCTCGGCATCGTCTCAATGCACCAGCTGTGGGGAAGTGCACGAACGCCGTGGATGCCGGTTCCAGGACGCCATCTGCCGCTCCTGCAACAAGCAGGGCCACATCACCAGGGTCTGCCGCTCCCGATGACCACCTCAGAAGACTTCAACTCACCAGACCTCGGATCTACACACTGACCGGCATACCCTCTCAGCCCACCACCAGCCGCCCCAGGTAAGCAACTTGCCCCCCGATAGCCCCCATAAGGTACATGTCACGGTGTTGATAGAGGGGTCCCCCTGCAGTATGGAAGTTGACTCTGGCTCTTCCTACACTATAATCTCAGAGGAAACGCTGCCCCTGCTCTGTCCACGGGGGGGACCTCCTCTGAAGAAGCCACAGGGGTTTAAGTTATAGGACTTTAACAAGAACCCTGTGGCGGTGCGGGGCTGGGGCAAGTTTACGGTGCAGTTTCAGAACTTCCATGGACAATTGGACTTGCTGGTGGTTGGTGGAAGACGCTTCAGTCTGTTGGGACTTTCATGGTTCGGGCCCCTGGGATTGCAGCTCACGGGGGTGAATCAGCTCCGGGCTGAGGATTTCGCGGCTGTTTCCCAGGGTTTTTGATGGCACTCTGGGCCGATACACCGGGATCCCCATCTCACTCGAACCGGCCATCCGCCCCATTAGAATCAAGGCCAGGCATCCCCCCAAAGCTATGAGGCCAAAAATCGAGGCTGAGCTTGGTGGCCCAGGGAGTGTTAGTACCCATAGTTTCTGCACAGTGGGAGACTGTGATAGTCACCCCAGTGAAGCCTAATGGCGACGTGCAAATCTGTGCCAATTACAAGTGCACCCTGAATAAAGCCCTCCAAGACCACGCGTATCTGGAACCGATGGTCAGCCACGTGTTGGCCGCACTGGCGGGGGCGCGAATTTTCGGCAATCTGGACTTGGCCCAGGCCTACCAGCAACTGCTGGTGGATACAGACACGGCCGAGGCTCAGACAATTGCAACACACAAGGGGGCTTTTAAAGTCCACTGACTGCAGTTTGGGGTTTCAGTCGCGCCCGGCATTTTCCAGTCTTTCATGGACAATTTGTTAAAAGGTATTCCAGGAGTGCAGCCATTTCTAGACAACGTGCTCATCGCGGCGCTGGATGCCTTGACCTTCGCCAACCGGCTCCGGACGGTGCTTCAGCGCTTCGACTCGGCTGGTCTGAAGGTCAAGCGGGAGAAATGCCTGCTTGGAGTTCCTAGGGTGGAGTTTTGGGGTTCGCTGTGGACGCCCAGGGAATCCACCCCACAGCCGAAAAAACCAAGGCCATCATGCAGGCCCCCCCGCCCACGTCCAAGACGGAGCTGCAGGCTTCCCTGGGCCTGCTTAATGTTTATCATTCCTTTCTCCCTCTGAAGGCTGTGGTGGCGGAACCTCTGCACTGCCTGCTGGACAAAAACGCCCCGTGGGTTTGGGGACCAGAGCACGCACCGCTTTCCAGGCGGTTAAGGACCTTCTTGTCTCAAATTCGGTCCTGTCCCATTTCAACGAGGTGTTATCAGTGGTCCTTGCCTGTGACGCCTCTCCGTACGGGGTCGGGGTGGTTCTGGGCCACCAGCTACCGGATGGCCGGGACGTTCCGATAGCTTGCTATTCTCGTACCTTGTCATCAGCGGAGCACAACTATGTGCAGATCGACAAGGAGGCGCTAGCGATTGTTGCCGGGGTGAAAAAATTTCACTATTACCTGTATGGCCGGCCTTTTACGATCCTGACAGACCATAAACCACTTCTCGGCCTCCTTGCCCCTGACCGCCAGACCCCCCAGATGACTTCGCCCCGGGTGCTCCGGTGGTCTGTTTTCTTGGCAAGCTACTCTTATGCGCTTCTTCACCGGCCGGGGAAAGTGACGGGACACGCTGATGCTTTGAGCCACCTTCCGCTGCCATCCACGGATCCGGACCCGGCTCCCGCTCACAAGGTCGCCTTGCTGGAGGCTCTTCCCAATTGGCCAGTACACGTTCGTGAGGTGGCCCACTGCACTGCCCGGGACCTGATCCTTTGCCACGTCTTGGACTGGGTGAGAAGGGGGTGGCCTACGGCCTCGGCGGGGGCGGACTTCACAGCATTCGCCTCCCGCAAGGACGAGATGTCATCCCACAAAGGCTGTTTAATATGGGGTGGCCGGGTGGTGATTCCGACTCAGTTAAGGGAACGAGTCCTCACAGCGCTACACAACACACATCCGGGGGTAGTCCAGATGAAAGCCCTGGCCAGAAGTTATGTCTGGTGGCCAGGACTGGACCGGGACATTGAGGACCGGGTGAAGTGCTGTCAGCCCTGCCAAGTATCCCGACCTGAGCTTCCCCGAGCTCACACAATCCCTGGTCTCAGCTCCACCTGGACTTTGTGGGGCCATTCCAGGGTCAACTCTTTTTTATACTCGTGGATGCGTACAGCAAATGGCTCGAGGTCATCCCGGTGCCGTCCACATCATCACGAGCAGCCATCCTGGGCCATGTGGTACATCTTCAGCGCACAGGGGATCCCGGACACCCTGGTCACCAACAACGGGACGGCATTCACCTCTAGCGAATTCCAGGACTTTACCCACTATTATCAGGTCGGCCCCATTCCACC